ATTGTGAGACTTGTTACTGTGTTTGGCATATTGAATATGTCCTGGGGAGCTTGCCAGGCTTTGCTGTGAAGGCAAGATACTCTTGGTAGCTTGCCAGGCTCTCCGAGAGGGGTGGAGGAATCGAACTTGGGTCGGCCATGTGGCCTGTGTGCAAGGCAAACGCCCTACCCGCTGTGCTATTATTGCTCCAGCATTGTGGTATAGTTTAAAAATAATGTTTAAATGGAAGGGCATGAAGTTTAATGTCTAACAGGTAGATGGTCTTCAGTTTTCGATCACGCTTCTTCCCAGCTATGATTACTTTGATCTTATGTCACGACTCATAGGAGCCCGGAAATAAAAGTGAACCGTAGAGAAAAAAAAAAGGTCCTTGTGCTTTTTAGAAGAAATGATCTATTGGCATAAAATCCACGTAGCACACAATTCAATTTTATGATTTTTCAGTATTTACAGAGTTGTGCAACCATCGTCACGATCTAATTTTATTTGGAGTGGGTGTGGAGGGGTGGGGGTTAGTGCTGTGAAGGCAAGAGCTTTGTGACTGAACCACATCCCTGGCCATAAAATTTTATTTTATTGAGAAATAATACACATAGAGCCCATTATTTAAAAGTCACAGTTCTGTAGCTTTTTGAGATATGAACTAGCAGGATTGCACAACCATAAGCACTGTTGAGCCCCACCCAGTTTCATCCCCTCCCAAAGAAACCACAGTCCTGTGTGCAGGCGTTTTTCTAGGCCCTCTCCCGCTCTCCCCAGGCTGGGAAGCCATTTCTCTCTTTCTGCCTCCATGACTCTGCCTCTTCTGGAAACGTTGTATAAAAGGACCAAACAGGAACCCCCCCTTTTTTTTTTTTTTTGCTTTTTGGGGTCATAGCCAGTGATGCACAAGGGTTACTCCTGGCTCTGCACTCAAGAGTTACTCCTGGCGGTGCTCAGGGGACCAGATGGGATGCTGGGAATCGAACCCAGGGTGGTTGCGTGCAAGGCAAATGCCCTACCCTCTGTGCTGTTTCTCCAGCCCCCCAAACAGGACCCTTTGTATCTGGCTTATTTCCCTTAGAATGTTTCTAAGGCTCCTCCATGGTATAACATGCCCATACCATTCCTTTTCGTGGCTGAATAATGTTCTTTAGTAGAGATACACAAAAGTTTGTTTAGCCATGGCCTAATCATCGACACTTTGATTACTGATCGCCACAAAAGGAAATCGCGTCTCCATTAGCTCGCTTGCCATTCCTCTCACTTTCCTCTCTCTAGTCCCCCATCTACCACTAATTTTATTTTCTGTGTAGAGATTTGCCTCTTCTGCACGTTTCCTATAAATCAAGTTTAGAATATGTGACACCTTTCACTTAACAGTGTTTCCAGTGTTCTTTCATGCAGTACCGAACATGGAATTTCATTTTTTTTTAAATTCATAATGTTTCCTCCTATCTCCTTTATCTGTTAATTGGTACACTCCTGGGTTGTGGACCCTTCTGATTTTATCTATTTTTTTTTCTCCAAAGAAAAAGCAGAAGCCTTTATGGTCGCCTGTGAATTCACCCCTTTGTCTCTGCGCTTGGACAGATTAGCCATTTGTTTAGCTTGCCAGATGCTGATTACAAAGAAAAAGGAACCAGTCCTAATATAGAAGTTCATGCCTGTCCTGCATCAGATAAAAGAACAGAGCAAGGCGGGCCGTTTTCAAAGCTTGACGTCTTTGCTCTGCCCGGTCTCCCAATGGCTTTAGGTTTCTGGTATTATCATTCAATTGAACGTCTTCATTTCCTGGGATAGGTCTGAAAAAATACTCCTCTGACTTTGAGACAATAAGCCCACCAGCCAGCTGGAACCCCAGGGAGCACCGCTCGCCTTTGATCAGCTCGGAATGCGAGGCTTGTGCTCTCGGTGCTGACAGGCTGTTGTCCAGCACGCCTGATCATCTGGCCCAGGAGCACCGAAAGGAGCCGTCAAGATAAGGTTACTGGGAAAATTCCATTCCCTGGCCTGCGACACCCAGGGGAAATTCTGACATGTCCAGAATTTTCCTTTTGATTTTTGAGCATTTGCAACCCGAGATGTAGCTCATCAGATCTAAAACCTGCTAGTCCCGGGCTTCAAATTCTCTCCTTGTAGCTGCCTCCAACACAATATGATTTCGTGGTAGTCTAGTATAGTACCAGGCAGATTTCTCACCTGAAAGTGGACAAAATTGTACCCACTTGAGAAGATGGGCGAATTAAGGGAGCTGTACCTGGGTCTTGCATTTGGTAGATTTCTAGCAAGTACAGGAAGTTCTCCCATCTTCATTTATGTGGTTTGCGTTGGACCATTCATCACGACCATCCTGTTGTTCGTCGATTGCCTCGAGCAGGCCCCAGTAACGTCTCCTTCATCCTAGCCCTGAGATTTTTTAAAAAGTGCATATTCAAGGCTCTTTCAGGGTTAGGAGAATGAGACCCATCATTGTTACTGGTATTTGGCACATTGGGTATGCCACGGGGAGTTTGCCAGACTCTGCCGTGTGGGCAGGTTGCATTCGGTAGCCTGCCAGTTTGTCCAAAGTAGGAATGAGATAATAAGATGTCAAGATGTTGCGCGGCCGCAAATGTGGCCGCGTACTTCCGGGAGCTGAGTTTTATAGTCTCTGGGTCTTGGCCGTTGATGGGATTACACGGCGCCAGGGGGCCAGTTGATGGGTGTGACCCCTGCCTACTGGAATATGAAGGAGCTGGGTGGAGGACGCTCAGGCCCGATCCGAGCAGGCTTGGAGATCTCAGCCCTGGGACCCGCATGCCTTTGTTCCTCTGCCGGTACCTTAATGTGTGTGGAGAGTGGTCTCAGCAGAGTTGTGACTGATTCTGGAGGTCTTCAGCTTCTGGGGCTCTACTCGGGGCGGAGAGGGAAACTCAACTCCCCCCCACCCCCCGCCCCAAGGGGCCCCGGCGAGCACAGCCAGGTGCGGGGGCAGGAGACTCTGCTCTTCTCTTCCAGGATCTGGGTTTTATAGTCTCTGGGTCTTGGCCGTTGATGGGATTACACGGACCATTAGGTGAAAGCACCTTGTTATTTAAGCCTGAAGCTTAGGGAGAGTTTTCGGTTGATAAATAGTGGCTGAGTTTGAATCCGGATTCCTGAAGAACCGAGCTGCTTCTTGTGTAATTGGTGTGAGTGAGTGAGAAGCAGGTGTACGGATTGATCCTGTGTCGGTTATTTTTTTGGTGCTTGACAAACAGCTCCAAAACTTCGCAGTCTGCTAGTGTGGGGAAGCACTCGGGCTGGTGAAATTCCTAAGGTTCTCAGCTCACATCTGTTGCCACATGGTATTAGCTGCTTACGTCATAGTAGGACATTTGCTTTGGTCTCAGAGGTCAAAACAAGTAACAATCGCCAGAGTCCTGATGGGAGCTTACTACAAGTCAGCCAGGACAGCAGGGCTCCAAGCAGAGACTAGCTGTCACTGGTTAATGATGGTAAAGATGGTTGTTGACTGTTCCCAGTCTGTAAAATTAGACTGAAAATTGGCATTTTAATTAAATCACGGTGTTATTAAGGAAATGCCGGTCACAGGAACCCTGTTTCCTCCACTGTATAAATTTAACCCATCGGTTAAGTTCCCTCAACCCTGCCAGGAGTGATCCCTGAGCACAGAGCCAGGAGTAAGTCCTGAGTACCATTAGATAGGGCCTCAGAACCAACCCCCACACCCCAACAACAAAACCCAAACAAACAGAAAAACTGGACAAAAGAGAAAGTGAAAACATCATCATAATCCTACTATCAAAAACGAATCCCATTAAACCTTGTTGCATTTATTCCATTCTTTCTCTCTGTGCTTCTGTCTCTGTCTGTCGGTCTGTCTCTTCTCTCTACATATAGTTTTATAGAGTTGGTATCTGCTGCTTGGGACCCGAGAGATAGTAGAGTGAGCAGGTGGGATGGCTGGGATTTGATTTCTGGTACACATGACACCTGTGGTCTCTTGAGCACAGAGCCAGGAGTCAGCCTTGGGTACTCCCAGAGGTGGCTCCAAAGCAAAGATGATACTCCATGGATACCGTTGCCGTCTTTTCCCCTCTACTTTTTTCATACACAGTTTATAAATAGCACTGTAGAACTGTCCTCCCATTGTTCATCGACTTGCTCGAGCAGGCCCAGTAACGTCTCCATCGTGAGACTTGTTGTTATTGTGTTTGGCATATCAAATACGTCACGGGTAACTTGCCAGGCTTTGCCATGGGTAGCTTGCCAGGCTTTGCCGTGCAGGCGAGATACTCTTGGTTAGCTTGCTGGACTCTCCAGGAGGGGTGGAGGAATCGAACCCGGCTCGGCCAGGCCGGCTACATGCAAGACAAATGCCATACCGCTTTTTATTTATTTATTTATTTATTTTTTGTTTTTATTTTTTTGGATTTGCTCAGGGGAGTATATGGTGCCAGGGTGGACCAAATGGTGCTAGCATGAGCTCCATGCAAGGCAGATGCCCTTGTACGGTTTCTCTGGCACACAAGTAGTATTTGTAAAGTTCTATACTATTTCATGGAGTGGCTGGGTTGGGATCTACTTATATTTTCTTTTCCATGTTTATTTTTTCTCATTAGTTCACTTAAATTGTAAGATCATCAGAGGAAATTCCCCTAATGTCCTCCTTTCCTGCCGCAGTGCCTGTAGAGAATGTTGCGTCTATAGATGAGGAATGGATATTTTTGCCTCTCAGTTTTCACCCTGTTATCAGAACGGTTTGCTATCAGGGACTCGGAAAGCAGTGCTTGCCTGCCCCTTGGCTTGGAAAGGGGACCTGGGGAAAAGGTTTGCGTGTCATTTCATGTGAGAAGTATTTTGAGTGAGCATTTGTGCATTTTCCTGCAGTTTCTGTTAGATTCTCGAAGGAGTCCTTAGCTAACGCAAAAGAACCTCTCCTCCAGATTCTGAAGATAGATCTATTTAATAAACTGACTTGAAGTCAAAAAAATACTGTATTTCAACTTTTTTTTTTTAATCCTGTTGGTTTTCAGGAAGGGATGAGACTATGCAGCCTGCGAGACCGTCTTTCCTGGAATATTTTGAGCAAAAAGAAAAGGAGAATCAGGTCAACAGCTTCGGTCAGAGTGTGCCTGGCCCCCTGAAAAACTCTTCGGATTGGAAAGTGCCCCAGGATGGCGACTACGAGTTTGTAAGTAAATGTGTCCCGGGGAAAGTGATTGGGAAGATCACACACGGTGCTGGCGTTTCCCTGGTGGTGCCAGGGCATATTCTCCTGCAGGGCAAGTGTCCAACTCGCTGCTGTTGGTGCCGCACCGGTGACAGCTTTCCACCTTCAAACGCCTCTGTTCACGCGCCAGTTTTCTTTTTGATGGATTTGAAGTCCCTCATTTCAGTTGTTAAAGGAACCATTCAGTCATCAAATGAAGACTTGCTGTCTAATAGTTTCTTCGGGGTTGTGGTTTCGTGTTTAGGGATTGGTCTGGAGGGCAGCTAATGCTGTTTCATTGTGACTTTGTTGGTTCGCTTGCCCTTACCCTAATTTCCTGCTCTTGGAGCTGATTAATTCTGATTTTTTTTTTTTTTGGTCGAAGGAGGAATGTTAAGTTGTTCCACAGTTTCTTCTGAAAACTTGGGTGTGTTTTTCCTTTCTCTGCTGTGGAACATTCTCCCTCAGCCACAGACACTTGTTAATGCTCAGAGATTTAATGAGGAGGAGGCTATAAAATAAAATTTGGAAAAAGAAAGTCAGCTAAGGAGTCTGCAGTCCTTTCCAGACTGATTTTAGGAAAGGATTTTCTCTTTAGGAGTGTTCTCCTTTTTATTCTCTTTCTTTTTTAATTTTTTAATTTTTTTTATGTAGGAGTACTGCTATTTATTCAGCGAGTGATTAGCTGATTTGACTGGGCATGAACTCCACCCTTTCTAATTCTCTTTTGAGGGGTGATGGCGGGCACTCCCGGCAGTGCTCAGATGCTGAGTTTTGGGTACTGTGGTCTGCGTCTAAGGGACAAGGGCCTTACTTAGTGAGGCAACAAAGAGAATGGTTGGCCTGGACAGGATTGTAACTGTGCATAGCAGGAAGTGAGAGCTGTGGGGCTTTTTGTTTAAGAATGAGACTTTGACTCCAAGTGAGAAGAAATATCAGCCAGATGTGACTTGATTCTACTTTCCTTAACTGTTTTTCTAGTTGCCCTGTAAGTACACAATAGGAGGATTGAGTTTTCAGAGCTCACGTGCGCTTTTAGTTACCCATATGGAGGAAGCCAGTGTCAGCATGTCGAATGCCCGTTCCTCTTCCTGGTCGGTAGCGTTTCTCTCTAAGGCCAGCATCAGCCTAAAAACCCTTCTTCACATCATGTTCCCAGGCTCCCACCATTTGCTCGTCTAGACTTAGGAGATGCAAATGATTATGTTTGCTGTTTGATGTTGCCTCTGTTCTTCAGCCTTTCTTTTTCTTTTTTTAAAATTTTTATTAGTGACAAACCAAGAGGTACAGTTGTAGACTTACAAATTTTTGTGCTTGGGTTTCAATTATACAATGATCAAGTACCCATCCCTCCACCAGTGCCCATTTTCTACCACCACGAATCCCAGTATCCCTCCCACCCTCCATCCTCTGTGGCAGGGCATTCCCTTTTGTTCTCTCTCTCCTTTTGGGTGTTGTGGTTTGCAAAAGAGGCAATCATGTTTGATTGATTGACTTGATTGATTGATTGACTGAGTGGCAATCTTGTTTGGTCTACAGTCTACTTTCAGCATGCTTCTCCCATCCTGGGAGGATCCTCCCAACACCCTTTATTTGGTGTTCCCTTCTCTATCTGAGCTCCCTTTTCCCCTAGCATGTGTGGCTGGCCTCCAAGCCATGGAGCAAACCTTCTCTTCAGCCTTTCTAAGGACAGATTTTCTCAGTTTCGTTATTAGGCAAAGATGAAATGACGTCAGGTTACCATGCCACTTTATCGCTCAAGAATCTTCCCATCTATTTTTCTAGGTCTGGTTTCTATTCTTTTTTTTTTTTAAAAACTTTATTTTTTTGCTTTTTGGGTCACACCAGGCGATGCCCAGGGGTTACTCCTGGCTCATACACTCAGGAATCACTCCTGGCGGTGCTCGGGGGACCATATGGGATGCTGGGAATCGAACCTGTGTTGGCCATAATGGCTGCGTGCAAGGCAAATGCCCTACCCACTGTGCTATCGCTCCAGCCCCTGGTTTCTATTCTTTAAAAAAAAAAATTTATGGAAGTTATCTATAATATAAAATAATTCCATAAGTACTATTACAGAAGTAATCCTAAAGCTCCTGTCACTTGAAGCTGTTCGTTGTATTTGGATCGGTAATCCAGCATCTGAAGAATTCCCTTCTCTTTGCCATCGCCTTCCCATACTGCGATCTGGAGTAGGGAATTTGTCCCATGAGGCCAGCTGTTCTGCAGAGGGGTTTCCTCCTGTGGACGTGGACAGCGGCAGGAGGGAGAGTCTCTGAGCTCAGGAGCAGAGGGGCAGGTTACCTGATTGCTGTAACTCCCGACCTGACACTTTCCTGTAAACCAGAGGTTTTAAACAGCTCACATTCGGCCCAGAGTCCTCTTTATGTCTCCTATCCTGTTTAAATTTTTTCCAGTGATTGGTCTTTAACAAATCGAAAACGATCACATAGCACCAGATAGTACAGTGGGTAGCGCACTTGCCTTGCAGGCCGTTGACCCAGGTTCGATCCCTGGCACCCCATGTGGTCCCCAAATCCCACCAGGAGTGATCCCCGAGTATAGTCAGATGTCGCCCAAAACAAAAATAAAATAAAGGGAGAAAGGAAGGAAAGAAGGGAGGGAAGGCACGAGGGAGGGAAAGGAAAGGAAAGTGTCTGCATAAAAAGTTGGAGTTCAGCTTGTCTTGCCAGGGGTAGATCCACATCATTGACGCTGGGCAGAGCTGCGTGGCAGCTGCCGTCTCTGGGTACAAATTCCCAACTTCCCCTGGGTTTCAGGCCTGCGGTGTTTGTCTGTATTCACCATCTGACTTTCACTAGGGTCGTCTGGTAATGAGACCCTTGCTCCAAGTCATACGTACACATTGTGCCCCACTCACCTCATCACGACATACCAAGTTTTCCCTGTCTGTCCCTTTGGAATTTCGGGAACTAGGTCAGAGGGACACAGCGAGCCGAAGGGACCAGCACACGCTTTGTACGCAGGAGGCCCGGGACCATCCACACGGTCCCGCGTATTCTAGGATGGACCCTCCCAAGATGAGCAGTACCCGAGGTGGTCCAGCGTCAAATGAACACAGAAAGCAATCATTTCAGGGCCTTTTAAGAGCATCGAGGGAAATCACTTCGTTGCTCCTGGGTTGGTGAGCACGTGGGGTTGGGGAAAGTGACCCCTCTGGAAAGGCCACTGGGCTCTGTGGCTTGTCCCAGCTCCTGCCCTCCGGGTCTCTTCCAGCTGGCTATTCCTGGGGCTTATTCTTAGGAAATATCCCAAGGAGCAAGCCGGATTAATAAATGTTAGCCATTTTACTGCATTTTATAAGTGTATAAAACATTCTTCATTTTAAAATGGACAGAGCTCTCTTTTCTGAGATCTTGGAACGAAGCAGTGAGAGAAAAGTCAAGTGTCTACAGTGACCTGCTTCACTACCCAAAGTCCCGGAGATCAAATGAAAACTATTTTTAATGCCTTAATAGCCTTACTTGCACAATTCACAATCTTTTCCAATGCTGGCACTTGAAGTAAGAGCGTCAAATGGTTGGTTCATATACAAAGATTGGGGTGCAGTGGTGTTTACCTGAAACCAGTGTACCTTAATTTAAAAATAGAATAAATTTTGGACCAGAGTGATATAAGCGGGTAAAGCACCTGTTTTGCACGTGGCTGCCCCAGGTTTGATCTCCGAGACCCCATAAGGTGCCCTGAGTCCTACCTGATCTCTGGGCGCAGAGGCCGGGAGTAAACTTTGAGCATTGCCGGGTGTGGTCCCAGAACCAAATAAAATCAAAACAAGGTTTTTGTTTTTTAAAGGAAGTTTGAAATGATGAGAACTCGGCCCCCCGCCCCCAGAAGCCTGTGTCCTCTCTCCAACGTAGATCTGTCTCTTTTCCCTTCCCTCTCCTCTCTCTAATTTCTTTTCAATAAAATCTATTTTCAGTTTCTCTTAAAAAGAAAAGAAATAGCAAGCATTTTAAAAGTAAACACCTCAGGAGACTGGGGTCCCAGCTCGCGTGGGTGAGTGCAAACCGGCATGTTTGAGGCCCCGAGTTTGACCCTTTGCCCCATGTCTCCCTGCTCAGGACTGCCAAGGGTGGTCCAGCTCTGCGCAGCCTGCCAGGGGGATCCCTGTAAACATGGGAGGATTTACCTCACTTGCTTTCTGAGTACAATTTGACCTCGGGAAAAGTTTCCTAGACAACTGAAGGTCTTCTAGAATAAAGCTAAGACGAGCTCGGCTATGGAAGCTGTACCAGAGACACTTGGTCTCACCCCTTCCCCGAGTGGTGTAGATTCTGTTACGTGTGGTATCATAAAAGCGAGCGGCAGTTCCTACGGTCAAGTTTCTCATCAGCAGTGTCGGCCTCTAGTCGAAGTGTGTTAGAAATGCACATTTTAAAAAAGATTAGTTAATTTATTTTGAATACCTATCCTTCCACCAGTGACCATTTCCCAGCACCACGGATCCAAGTATCCCTCCCACCCCCTCCCCCCCTCATCCCACCCTGTCTCTGTGGCAGGGCATTCCCTTTTGTTCTCTCTCTCCTATTGGGTGTTGTGGTTTGTATAAGAGTTAAGCCTGATTTTCAGGGAGAAACGTTGGATGATTTACTTTCCATTCATCACTTTGTATATAGGGAGATGTCGCGCTTAAGCAGCCGTGCGGTTTGGAGTAAAAGTCCTGGTTCCCGCATGCCCAAGCTATGCTTGTAGAGGCTCATGGTCACCGGGGTTCCATCTGGAGAAGGTGGGATGCAGCACCTACCCCATCTGGGACTTCCCGGTGATCTCGGCTCTTTTTGGGACCTGGTGCATTCTCCGGGAGCTGTGGAGCCGCCCGGTGGCCTTTCTTCTCTGCGGCCGTGTGCTGTAAAGATGGCGCTGGAGGGCAGGTTGTGGGCATGACTTCCAGAATCAGAGGTTACCTGGGAGCCGGGGCAGTCCCGGCAGTTTGGAATAAAAGTCCAAGTCCTGGTTCCCGC